CACCCCACCCCCCCCCCCCCCCCCCAGCAATTCTTTTTCCTTCCACATGTGATTTATATAGCTTCCCTCATTAAGTCATACTCTGCCAAGGAATGATCCATATGCGTTTACCAAAGACCTAGGGGATATGGACCATTACAGGCTGAGCATGGTAACAAATAACAAATGAGGAAGCGCAAAATTTAATCAAGTAAGCACAATAATCTCGTTGCTAAACTAAACTGTATAAAGAAGATAACGAGTGGACTGTAGACTCACAATGACAGGTTCTTCTTGTTGGCAAGCAGCAGCTAGGAGTTCCCTTTCATTTCCAAGGCTGGCGTGCCTCACATCGGACTTGTGCTGCTTCCTATTAGCGCGAGCTCGTGTGAACACCATGGAGTAGTTGGTAGGTACCGGGTTCTTGGAGTCCCATGCTCCAAACTGAGGAACGGACAGCCCTCCATTTTTCTGTAAACAAAAGGAAGTCAAAGTGACCAATACTTTATCGCAGAAGCTTGCAAGGTCAGTTGCTAGGAATATAAACATAATTTAAATGACATGAATTTAGGTAGATATACTTGTAACCATTGTTAATGTTAAGTGAATTTGGGGAGGAATTCAACTTCCATTCTGATCTTGTTTTGGTTAATACCCCCTTGGTCATTAACGCGTATTAATCAAAACAAGATCAAGGACCCCACTTACAAAAATAAAAGCTGGTGATTGAACGCTAATGTAAATGAATGATTTTGTCTTGGATATCAAAACAAGAAAACTCTCCCAGTTCCCATCTATCTCTAACTTTGCTCTTCATAGTTTACAAGAAACAAGAATTCTTGTTGGAAAATAGCAACATCAGAATCAAAACACAAAGGAAAATCGAGAACAAATTATGTCCCCTTGAACTTCTGAAGCTGTGCACTTACCTCCCCCATTGCCATGATGAGGCGAAGTAAGATTGTGAATAGAGATTATCAGTACGTAAGCACATACGTACAAGTCTATTTTAAGTGAGATCAGGGCTGCTCTGTCAAATGCCCTATTTTACTGATGGATGGAAACAATCAGTGACGGTGCCAACCTGTTTTCGTGGGTGGCAAGCGTAACACAAGCCTTAAATTAGACAATGGCAGTAGAAAAGTTGAGAAAGTATAGTTTTTTTCTCTCCAGATTTAGAGTATGGTTACGTGCTGAATAGAGATTTTACTTTGTAGTGAGTGGTTATCCTTGACCAGCGGCCTCAAACAAAGGAAGAAAATCTAGAGGTGGGGTTGGACTTCCAAGTTTAATTCCTGCCATTCACTTGAAAAACGATTAATGAAAGACAAGCCATTGTTCTAGTTCGAATGTTATGACATGTTTGGAAAGCTTTGATTTTGTTAAAATTATAATTAGAGATTTTTATACGTTGGTAGTATTAGAATTAAATCCATTAAAAAGTTGTGAACAAATCTGTATGATTTTAATGCTTCTCCATCATAGTATGCAATTTCCAAATCATCCTGCTTTCACTGGCAAGTGCTAACATGAACAGTCAACCCTTTTTTTAGCGACGAGACTTTTTCACAGTTATTTAATGTGCTTTGAAAGGTGTTTGAAGTTAGGGTTTGACTGATGGTTCGTTTTTTTTCTACAAAATAATTCACTTGTGTGGGATAAGTAATCCTCTAATACTTAAATTAGCAAATTAAAAGTAAAAGAATGAAAATTAAAGAAATATTATTTTAGATAATTGTGCATGTAGATATCTTGTTTTACATAAATAGTAATCTTTGAGTATTTATACATTACAAAATTACATGAATCTGCACATTATCTTACTCATAAGAATTATGTGGGAAATAGTTACCTTGCCACCACATAGCTTAATTTTTATTTTTTTTACACATTATTTTTTTGATATAATAATATTAAAAATAATTTTAAAAATATATATTATTTTAATATATTTTTAAATAAAAAATATTTTAAAAAATAATTATTACTGTGTCTCGCAAATTACTCTAAAAATAAAAGAATAATGGGCTCGGTTCGTACCCTTTTTTTGAATTATTGGGGGTGGCTTTAAGCCCATTATTGGGCTCGGCTTTAGCCCTTCTTCCTTATAGGGCTCTGTTTTGTAGCCCATAGTTTGTTGATGTTGGGCTCCATTTTATGCGACCATTATCTAGGTTTTTTTTTTAAACTCGTAAAATTATATAATTTTACAAATTAAATTAAATTTTACATGCTAAATTGTTCATAAAATTCAAAAATAAATAAAATAAAATTAAAATAGAATAAAATTATTAAAATTAGATAACATTATATAAAATCATAATTTCACCACAGATTTAATGATTTTACCCACAAAAAATAAAATTACAATTCTTATTACAGCCTTTATAGGTGTCGACCGACTATTAGCATTTGATTGCAAAAAAATACTATTACGTTTCTCTATCAATTCTGTGACCGTACAAAAATTTATTATGCTCAGTCATGTTTACTTAAAGAAGTAAAATAAATACATTGAGTGAAGATGACTTTCTAGTGACCTTGGGTTGGTAATTACTTGATGTGTGGCATCGTCAAGACAATATATATAAAAGAGAATAGTTGTACGAATAGGAAATATAACCATTATATATATATCAAAGAGAATAGTTGTGCGATAGGAAATATAACCATTATTATATATATTATATTTAAAATAAACTGTTTTATGTTTATTCTAAAAATTTTAAAAGTATTTTTTAATTAAATTAATTGAATATAATAATAACTATAAAACTTGGTATTTTTTGTATTTTTAAAAATTCAATCAAAATAAAAAATTAAAATCAAGTTAGAACATTATGCATGCATTCATTTAGTTGTGTTGATTGTTTTATTTAAAAATTTAGTTATTTATAATAACATGAAGGTAGAATAAAAAGTAAAACATAATAGTTTTTCATCGAAATTGAGATTTGAATTGAATATATAATATTTTTATACCTTATAAAAAGAATCATTTTAATTTACACAAAGGTATATTGCGTACCTTAACTATTTTATCAATAAAAAATAAAATAAATTAAATTAAATTAAATATCATAATCTTAAAATTTATTATAATTTTACAATTTGTTTTTCCAATTCAAGTTTGTTTTATAGTAACAACCTTCTTTCTAATGCTTTCTCACCGTTTTTCCTCGGAAAATTTAGTCCACGTGATCATATCTCATAAAAATACATGATAATAATCTCCCCTCCTTTCTATAGAAATCTCCAACTCGGACTGAAAAAATTTCCTCAGGTAACTTACTATTCCTCACTTTCTCGGCACCCATACACCGCCACTAATGGCGCAAACAATCAGCCTCCGCAAAGGCAACACCCGTCTCCCACCTGAGGTCAACCGCGTCCTCTACGTCCGTAATCTTCCGTTCAACATATCAAGCGAAGAGATGTATGATATATTCGGCAAATATGGAGCGATTCGTCAAATCCAAATCGGAACCAACAAGGACACGAGAGGCACTGCTTATGTGGTTTATGAAGATATCTACGATGCCAAAACAGCGGTGGATCACTTGTCAGGGTTTAATGTGGCGAATAGGTATTTGATTGTGCTGTACTATCAGCAAGCGAAGATGAGTAAGAAGTTTGATCAGAAGAAGAAAGAAGAAGAGATTGTTAAGATGCAGGAAAAATATGGCATTACTACCAAAGATAAGTAGATTTTTTTTTCGTTAATGACTTTAGTTTAAGAAATGATAACTCCTTTTGTTTTTTGGAATTGCTAGGTTTGTTATGGATGTTATTGATTAATAACAGTGCTTTAATTTTGCAATCTATTTATTAATGTATGCGTAATTGATTGATGTGTTGTTTAATTTAGTGCAATTGGTGATCTTTGATTAATGATTTTTAGGATTGTAAGTGTGTTTGTGTGGCAAAAATGACTGGATAAATAAAGAATTATCAAATTATAATATGCTGTCATTTTTCTAGTGGAATTATGTTGTAAAGGTATGGAGAGTTGAATTGAACTTGGTTTACATTTACCTTTTGGTTTTTGAATAATTAGAGCTACAATAGGTTATATTGAACATATCATCTTTTAGTCTGAGTTTGTGAAGTATGCAGGAGATTTTTTTCTTCTTTTTGTTGTAGGAACTTGGTATTTCAGTGTAAATAGTACGTATGCATTTGTGGGTATGATGCTCTTTTATCTTGTCCGATTCTTCATCTAGATGTAGTAGTACTAATTGAATCTTGGATAAGTGATCGATGGTCTTCTTTTTAACTTTCCATTCTTGAGAATTTTGCTTGTGCTGGTGATAAGATTAGGGTTTACAGTGGCTGCCTTATAGGATTTTTTTACAGAGGAACAGTTATTTGATGGAGGAATTAGGTGCGGGTAGCTTTGGAATCTTTATGTCTGTACCTGGATTGGGAGATAATTGTGAAGTTTTGATTATGCAGAATATTTATATTGATTTGACATGGAAAAATTATCCTGAGGCAAAAGATGGAGAAAAATGAAAACCATAACCACAGTTATTCAAGATTGCTGGTGCTGAACTTAAAATTACTTGTGAGGATTTAAGGGCTAGCAGTGGATGTAATCCTTGTAGCTTCACATTTTTTGTAAGGTTGGCAGTTGTGGAGGCTGCATGGTGTGAATGAAGAATCTGATACTGAGATTTTGCTGTTGTTCAAAGAAAAATTTCTCGGTATAAAGAGTTTTGAAAAACAATGGCGAGGCTCACTCTGAGGATTGGAAATGCAGGTAGGAATTACTAAATTCCTAAAAGTAAAAAGGATGATAAATATGTTTAAGTACACGTTAATTAATCATGGAGGCGTAGGTGAACAGTTGGATGTTGTATGGTTGGTTGATCAGGCAACTATTTTGCACGTGTCTGACCTTCAAGAGCATATATACAATTCTTGAGAAGAGAGAGATTGCGTGACAAATGAAGAATTGGATTCTTTTTCCATGAAGCTCTAATATTTGAGTTAGGTTATATCAACTAAAACTAACATGTTTGGGTGAAGATTTAGAGAAGGGGAAGGTTCTCTTGATTGCTTTATTTGATTTAGCTGATGAGATTTTACTTCAAGGCAAAAGGGGATTGTAAACCTGAATCAGCAGAGACTCACCACGCGACAGTTGATATGGTGCTCCTTTTGCTAATTGTATGTGCCTGCTTGTATTCATGGAAAGGGATGACTGCCCTGCTTAAGATTGGATATGGGTGCAAGTAATTTCATTAGGCATTAGGCAGCTTTTACCTGTGATAGATAGTTGGAAACGCTTTTGGTTGTTAATAATTGGTTTGGATCTATTTTTATTTGAAATCTGGATTGGATCAGTGTCAAAATTCAGACCATGCACCCACACAATGACAGAAAACAAGGAGTAATGATTTAGTTGTTACTCCTCGAACTTATTATTATTTTTCTGCACCACATTTCACATAAATAGTGAAAGATACACTGGAACTTTAAGTTGCATCCAGGAGTAGGAATTAGCAATATCCATAATAGCCAGCGTCATACTTGGCCAATCCTTTATTGCCTTCATCTTTTTGACATACACCTCCATTCAATGGTTTCTCTCAGTGGCCAGCAACCCAACTTCTTCTCGCTACCTGCACTCATTAAGAAATAATCAAGTCATCGAAGAAATCTTGACATAATCTTCATATATTTAAGAGCACTGCTGCCATGTCTAGTGATAGAAACTTAGTATAAAATTTAGATTTTTTCAAGCATTTCCTGAAAAGTGCACAAATTTAAAAACATGGGTGTGTAAGTATCTCTATGACACAACACCGGAACGTTTTATCGAAGGACTTAGAAGTTAGAAGTTTCGATCAGTTTTTAGTGATTTTATCCTCCTGTGAGCAAATAATTTGTTATCTACGTTAGCCAACAAAAAATAGAGCAGCACGGGGTTGAAGGAGCATTTTACTAGAAGAGGTAAAGAGAATAAGAAAAGGGAGGGTGGCAAAAACTGAAAGGCTCTTCCAGGCGTC